CCCCCTCATGTGTTTTTTAAAAGGATTTTCCCGAATTTTTGGGGTTTTTTTTTTTTTTTTTTTTTTTTTAAGCAATGTCTTGTGAAGGTCTTAGCAGTAGAAGTTCCTTTGTCTCGAGTAGGAAGACGTTTTGGAAAAGTGAGGAAATCTCACAGAGCAGGACGGTCAACAGACGGGAGGATTAAAGCCATTTAATGCAACATAAATTGAAAACCTTAACAGAAGCTTTGTGATTTAGCCGGGTTCTGACTCCAGCTAAACAGTAAAAGAGAAAATGTCATAAATCTTCAGCAAGAACAGCTAAACTTTAACCAGATGCAGTGTTTTCAATAGTGTGACCTAAAGAAAGACATGAAGTGAAGAAAACTGAGTGTTATGGATTTTTGTAATCATGTGCAAACTTAAACATTTTGCACACACAGTACTATGTTACAGCTGAACTGTAAAATAGGCTGTTGGAATAATTCATCTTAATAAACATTACATCGATGTTTTCATTATTGTCTAATATTAGATCCAAACAGAATTGGCTGAAAACTTCACCTTTCTCCCAACAAAGCATAAAATCTTCATCATAATAACCCCAGGATTTATAGTTCAGGTATTTATTTTTTCTTATTCTGCCATGTCTTCTTTGGTACATCGGTCAACTTTGGTTATTTTAAAATGTTTTTTTAATCCTATTAATTTGAACACAGACGTTGCTGAAAAATGTTATTTGAAAACTAACGATGCTGAAAGAATCACAGATGAATACAAATATTTCTCAGACCAAGGCTGAAGCACAAACAAGTCTCCATGTCCTGACGCCACCGTTTTGCTCCAGCGTCTGCTGCACGCCGCTTTTCTGGATTTCTGGACATCCGATGTGGTGCAACGCTGTACATAATTTCAGTACTCCTACTTATTTCTGTCATTATTTTTGAGCTTTTTTTTTTACCTTTTGTTTTATCTGCATTTTGTCCTCTTGAGTAGTCGCTGTAAGCAGAACAGCTGAGGCAGAATGCGGCTGTGGTTTGGCGAAAGCTTCTGGCGGTAGTTGAGTTTGAAGACATTGCTCCAAGAGGACAGATTGTGCTGTTTAAATGCTTGTTGAGGGAGGCTTAAATTCAGTTTGCAGAAGAAAAGAAACAAAATAGAAAACAGCAGGCAAGCAGCAATTACCTCCCAAAATATCATTATAAATTACTACAGATAGTTAAGATAGATTTTACAGAACCAAAGTCATATTTGCTGATAATTTGTGACTTTTTTTTGTCATACTGATCAGCTCCTCCTTATAAACTTTCCTTTATGGCCATTGAAAGTGTTTTTCAAAATTAAATAGGATTGCTTCATTAGAAAGAAGTTAAAATGCATTAATTAAGTTGTTTTTATGATCTTTCATTGAATATTTTGTGATTATTACTTTCATTTTGTTTACTTTTTTCCAGGTGGGTTTTAATTCTGCTAGTTTAACCTGATGCCAGAAGATCTGAGTCTCAGTAGCAATAAGGACATTATTAACATGCAATACCTTAGAAAAGCATAGTTCTTCATATTTTGTCAAATTCCAACTCCCCACATTCAGGGCCTGCCCTGGCCTGTTTGACGCCTATCTTAATTTATGATGATTTCATGTGATTTGCAGTGCAAATCTTTACAATTATGTGTTACGTTGTGTTAGCATGTAAAAGCAGGATGGAATATGAAAACGCTTGTTGGGTGGGAATACTTTTACAACGGCCATGATGAACAGGGAGGAGTCAACACTGGAAGCACTGAAGTAGAACATTTTACCTACAGACCCATTTTAAGAAATTAGAAAATTATAGAAAAGTTCATTTATTTATTAACTAAAATCAGCTACTGTGCTATATAGGTTAATTCCATACAGATTCATGTTTCCAATTATTTATTTTTGTTCAAATTAACTATATATATATATATATATATATATATATATAAAAATATGAAAGTCATCATAATTTAATGATGATTTTCTGCTTCTGAAATTGTTTAAAATTAGATTATTACATCAGAGCAATAATTCTAATAAAAATTCTTAAACAGATTCAAAAGTTTACAATTATTTGAAATATGTGTTAATTTGAACACGTATCGGAATTTATTGAATACTGGTTTTAAATATGGCAACATTAATTTATTTGTTTTTCGGTATAACTTAGAAACTTTGAAAAAGTAGCTGATAAAAATGTGTGTCACTACGACACGTGTTTTGGCCACAACAGCAGATAACCTTTAACTACAGCTGGAGCAGCTTGTAGTGTGAGTGTTCACTCATTACAGAGCCGAAGTATCGACCGCGGTGTCTGTGGGGAAATATGCGTAGCCCCTGACTGCCCGTCTCTTTCCTCATTTCTGCCTCCGTCAGGTTCCCAGCTCAGCCCATGAGATCCTCTACGTCAAAGAAGAAGAGTATCTGTAGCGCGGTGCGGCCTACGGCAGGTGATTGCTGCGGATTCCGCCTCTTTCCTCAATCAGACTCCAGTGCACAGAAAGCAGCATGCGATGTAACAGGTAACACTGCCCCCTGCTGGAAGTAGCTGAGCAACGCGTCTGCGCGCGCATAATGGAGCACCTGACTCCATCTTTGGATGAAGATTTAGTTCCTGTAAAGGTGGAATTCTTCTGGAAGTTTCCGTCCCCCCCCCCCCATGCCTGGTCTTGTAGACAAACCAATATGGGAGATCTGTTTTACTGCTGATATGCATTCATCTTGTGTCTTCGTTCTTTACTTTATGTGATTTAGGAACTGTAGATAAAGTGGATTTTACAAAACATTTTATCTTAGTGAGATAATGTGACAACAATATTTGTAGATTATTTAATCATACAGATAATACAGGGTTTTTTGTTTGTTAGTTTGTTTAAGTAACTTCCAGGTACCGTGAAAGGGGCAGTATAATGTAAAATTAACTTTTTGGAGCAATATATCATTTTATAATGTTATTCCCTCATCAAAGTCATACCTGGAGTGTTGCCTTTATTTTTTTCATGAATGTTTGAGAAATCCTTTAATCTCCATGGCATCCATTCAGCTGTGCAAAATGCCTGGGTGGATCTAGCCCCGTCTTTGAGACACAACTCCTCCTCAGACCTGCAGTTTCCAAGCTTCAAAGCTTCCACCTCACAGAGCAGCCCTCCTCTGAATCTCCCCCACTCAGTTCCTTCAGACTAGCCAACAGTGATTAGCAAACACCTGGTGGATCTGTGCATCTGCTGAGTTCATTGTATGAGCTACGTCTTAATGAAACACTGGTAAAAATGTTTTTATAGGTTAACAGAGGAGCCATGTTGTGACGACTTCCTGAAGGCCAGGTTTCAGAAAGAGCAGGAGTTTTTAAAGAGACAGAGGTCCAATTTCACAGTGTTCATTTAAAAGGTAAAATTTATTTGAATGATTTGACATATATATAGAGAGAGCATTGTTAAACAATTGAAGCTTTAAAATGGCACTATGTGCCTGTAAAACACATAATACTGCCCCTTTAAGTGTAGTATTATAGTCTTAGTTCCTTTAAGATAGTGTTTTCTTATGATATGACTCCTGTGTGGTGTACCACTTCCTGTTTGTGAGTTATGATCATGTATATGAAATTAACCTTGCGTGAAATGCTGTTCTTTTCAGAAATTTCATTGTATATCATTGGGATTTTATGTCATAAGACAATATAAATCAGTGGATAATTATTTTGTGGAATGAAAGTGACATATGCTTTTTATTATCATTTACGTTTATAAATCTGAAAATTGTGGTGTGCATTTTTATCTATCCATTCCTCACGGTGCATATCATTTTACTAGAGGTCAGAATGTCACACTTTAGTGTCATCTGATCACAACATCGTCTTCCACACTTTGGCTCTGTCCATTAAGCCACATGTCTGATTGCAAACTGTAAATTTGAACTTTTTATGGTCTCTTCTTTGTCTTTCTTTCACAAAGACCAGATTTGTGAAGTATGAATGGTTGGCCGCTGAGTGTATTTTTCCATCTGACCTGTAGATTTGTTATTCACTAACTGCTTTTCCATTACAGATGTGCGCCAAACTTTGTTGCTATTCTGCTAATGTTGGAAAAAGACAAATTTCGCATTTGCAGTGTTTGCATTAAATAAGAAAGTCAGTTGAAATCATACTTGAATAAGATAAATATATTTATAAAATTCTTGAATAAGATTTTTTTTTTCATGAGATAAAAAAAAAAACATGTTGCGTCATCGTCCTCCTTCCCCTTTCTGCCGTCTTCTTTGTCCTTTCCACCAGTATTGAAACCCGACCGTTGGTCACAGCTGGTGTGATGTGAAAAAAGTATTTTCACTGCAGTTTCACAAGATACACAAATTTATGCGTTTGAAAAACCACTTCATCCAACCGCAAAAACCTCTTAACAAAAAATGTGAGATTTTTTTTTTAATTGGCGTGTTTCCATTAAGCAAATGTATTTTTGTAACTCCAATTTACGCAATTTTAAGGTCAATGGAAACCCAGCTCCTGAAAACAAACAAACAAAAACTCTAAGGTATTCATTAAACCGCTGTGTACATACTGAGATTAAATTACACATATCTGGATTCTGTACACTAATTAGGTGACTTCAGAAGACAACTGCGGCTGCATTGAATTTTCTTTGGGGGTATCACAGTAATAGTGTCTGTATTGAAATCCATGCCACACTTTGCAGTTTTATACTGGTAAAACAGTTGCAAATCAGACATCCTTTTCCTGTGAAGTCATAACTCAGCACCGCTCTGTTGGTCTGTCAGATGAAATCCTAAAGACGTGAAACGGTTCGTATGGCGGGTTTGCCTTCTCAACTCGTGCCTGTTGGATTTTGGACTCATTTCCAGGCACCAACTTGGATCCTGCTTGGCTTCCAGGTCAGCTTTCTGCCTACAGCAATATGATCCCTGTTCAACGCTGTTTACAACATCCTGTCTGCAAAAACTGCAAGAGGGAAATTTTACTGCAGAGTTTTTCCCTTTGTTTGGGACCCACTTAGTGGTGTACGCTGTCATATGTGCATGTCTTTTTTTATTTGTATGTTTGTTGTGCTGACACACAAAAACTAAGCCATGTTTTCCTCTGCTACACAGTCACATGTAATGCTGACTTCATGACTTTCTTTGTAAAATAAATTTTCTTATTGCACTTAGCTTCCACTAGATGGCAGCAGCTACACGTGAGTCCCTATCACTTTGTTGCCTCCCCAACACACTCTGGCTCTTCACCAGTATGTGACTACTCTTACTTGAATACCCGAAAATTGTACTCAATTGAGAGAAACTCTACTTCAACATATTTATACTCAAGTAAAAGTAAAAAGTAGCTGTTCAAGAAATTACTCAAGAGTAAAAAAAAAGTATTTGGTAAAAAGTTTACTCAACTGATCAAATTCTCAGTCAATTAAAAAGTAAAAATTTCAGACAAAAGAAAACCTTTCCAAATCAGTTTCTTTCAATATAAAACTTATGAAACTTTAACAAAAACTGCAGCTGTGTGTCTGTGTCTGGTGAATTTTTGGATAAAACATGTTTGTTTTTCATTCAGAGGGTGAAGAATCCAGATATTTTACTCACGTAAAAGTAAAAAGTACAGCACAGTAAAATTACTCCTACAAGTAAATTTTTTTTCAAAACTTTACTCAAGTAAATGTAATTGAGTTAAATGAAATGTAATACAGTGATGTCTGTCAGGTATCATCAATAGCGCTAATCTTTTCTTTATTGTGTCACTTGTTGATGTGTGGGACGTATAAAGCAGCAAATGAACATCTTTGTTTCACTGACTCAAACATGCAAGCATAACTTTTCCACAGAATCTGCAGAGCTGCACTTTGTGTTTCATTCTGCATCAAAAGTGATGCGTGAAAGACTCAGTGACTAACCTGATAGAAGGTGGGGAGCTCAGTCCAATTCACTGCATGTAGGGCTGAACAGAAGGTCATTCTGATCCCTGACCAGCAAACACACGGTAGGTATGTACGGTTTAAAGCAGATATTTACAAATTAAAAAGTTTGACCCAAATCTTGCAGCTTCAAAGACAGTGGTTCCTGCTACTGACCAAATGTATGCAATCTTTGGATATGGGGAAAGTTACAGAAAAAAGAAATTAAATAACTCAATTTTCTTGCTATGCTTTTTGGCATTTAGCAAATGGAAATAATTTTGGTAATTTTAATAAAGCTAAAACAAGAAAAATTGAGTTTGATTTAACCTCAGACAGGGAAGAAAATATGTTTGTATCTTTTTATACAGTGAATAAAAAGACACAAATATCTGAACTATCTGCTTTCAGCTGAATGACTCCATCTGGTTCCCCCAACCTGTAAAAATTCAGGAACTTATCTTAGCCTGTGAGGTGGGATCAATATTTTTTTATGCTGCCAATTTTTTCTTTCAATCTCATCCTACAAAATAGACCATTTCCTTTAATTTTCTGCAAATCACTTTCAGTTTAAAACATATATTTCTTCTCATTTTTTCTAAAAGGTTCATGTTGTCCCCTTGTCAAAGAGTTTGAAATAAAACTAAAATTGTGATTGTCAAACAGCAAAAGGTTTTTTTTTTTTTTTTTTTTTTTTTAATTTTGGGGCTTACGACAAAATATTTCAGTAGGAACAAAGAGCGGGGAGAAAAAAGTAAATGACCCCTGGATTTAGTGGATTTGTTTGCTTTCCTCTCCTTCGAATCCTCGTGAACGTTAACGTTTGTGCAGAGCTGCTCTGTCACTGAGTTATCAGACAGGATGTGAGTTTGGTAGAATATCAGCAAAGATTTACAGCTTCACCAAAATGTTACCGTTGAGCAATCCGTGTCAAACATTTCACTGTGACAGATTTTAAATCTCTGGTAAATAACTAACACAGTTTGGATCTGTCAAATTATGTCACAAACACCTTGTTGAACAGTTTGTACAGGATGATTGGAAACATGTAACCGTTGTAAATAATTAAATACGATGGATGAACACAGAGATGTACACTGAACTTCCTCCAGAATCCATCAACAGTATTTCCAAAAATAACACATGAATGAAACTTTTCTATTTTGCTTCTCAGTGTTTTTCCAGCTATCAAATCATTTTTGAGTGATTTTAATCAACCATTTCATGATTTGACCCTAAAGAAACTTTGGAAATCCTTTTTTAGATTGTGAGATCTCTAAAATCACCACCTGAATATTTTTCTGAACATTGAATAGTTGACATGGCCTTTTTTCAGCAAGGAGATGTCAACTGAAAACACACCAGCAGTGTGTGGTGTTGTGTCCAGACCAGCTGATATCTCTGCCTTCTCCAAGGTTTGGTGTTCTATTAATAGTAGAAATTGAATTAGAATTTTTCCACTTAAAGACATGACTGATACTGCATTCTGTCTTATTCTTTTTAGTTTTCCTCCTTCTAAGGAGAAATGACTTTAAAGCCCACGGCTGACGACACGGTTCAACCTCAGATTACGTTGTTGAAACCATTTTTTTTTTTTCTGTGGAAACATGCGACACCGGAAACATGCGAAACCTGATGGGGAACCACAGTGGAATCTGTGGTTCAGCTGTACACAGCCTGCGTACCTTCAGGTTTTTCTTTGAATAAAAATACTACTAATAATAAAAATTAAAAGAATAAAAATAAATAGTTATTGTGTTTTTCTATTAACTAACCCTCTTC